TAATATAGTACTAGAAACTCAAGAAAAATATTTTTTCTCTGCTAAAAAAAAAAAAAGGAAATCAAGAAAGAGATCCAAACAGTACTGAATGTTTGAAATCTTTTAAACAGCTATGCCTCAGACAGTCAATAACATTGACAACTAAAGCCTTCCCATCACTTCTTTAAGAGTAAAACTAGAGTCAGCCATGAGGTTAAATGGTCTTGAGAAGATTATCTTATCGTAAAACTGCCTAGAAGGCAAATGGAATTTTTGGTAGGTCACCAGTATGAACTTGTTTGCTAAACTGAATAGAGAATGCCAGGAAGTTTGAAAAATCTGGAAAAAAGGTGAAGCAAAATAAAGTATGGTACAAGAAAGTACACCAGACCCTGGATTTCAAGCCAGGAGGTCTTGGCTTTAATTTCTCTCCTGTACTAACTTCCTGGTCACTTTGATGAGTGAGAGTTTAATCCTCTGCAAATATATCTCATTGGCTTACTTGCTCTCTAAGTCTTTTCCAATATGTCCATATCTCACCTATCACTGGTCTACTCAGTCAGATAGAGGCGTCTCTATGTACTAAGGGGTGGTAGCATCCAGTCATCAATGTTGGTCTTAAGTAACCATAGTGACAGCAGATACATTGCCATTCACTGAAATTCACTAAGCAAGATTCTATGCTGAATCCTTTACACGCATTAACTCACGTGATCCTCAAAACATCGTTAGAGACTTTATGTATTTTTTCCTAGCCCTCCCAGCTATAAAATGCCTAATGTGGAAAGAAGTAGTGGATATTGATCTTTTTATCATCTGCTTCTAAATTAACCACCATAGTAGCTTTCAATAAAAACATAAATCTGATATATCCATTCATACTGGAAATTAGATGTCTTGTGTGTATTGGCAACAGATTTTAGTTTAGGTAATATTTGGATCCATCCATGGGTGTTATTTATATGCACTAAGTACAACCATAAAGTCATACAATGTTAGAACTGTTAGAGATCTCATAGGCCATCTAGTGATGTGCTATCCAAAATAGTAGGCACTAGCTGTGTGTGACTATTTAAATTTCAATTTTAACTAATTAGATTAAAAACTTACTTCCTCAGTCACCAGCCACAACTCAGCAGACACATGTGGCTGCCATGTTGGTCAGTGCATTTATAGAACATTTCCATCATCACAGAAATTGCTATTGGACAGCGTGACTCTAGGGACTACGTTCTAATTGAACCCCTCTATAGCTAATAGGAGGCTTTGGGTTGCAAGTAGAAGAAAACCTGGCCAAAACTGGCTTAACCAAAGAATGAAAAAGTGGGGAATTTATTGGTTCACATAATTGGATAATCCAGGACTTGACTCGGGTTCTTACAGCTGTATGGGTTCCTACTCCTGTCATCTATTTATCTGTCATGTCTACCCTCCCCTCACTTCCTCCCCTCCCCCCAAAGCCTCAGCTTTGTCTTAATGCCAGATCCATTCATGGTGACAAAAGCTCTAAGAGTTCCAGACCTTCTCATCAGAAGGAAAGCTTTTGGCGAGGGGCAGGGGTAGTTAGAAGAATAAGGGAACCAACGTCTCAGAAGCTTTACCCTGTATATAGATGTGTCTCATTGACCCAAATTCGATGATGTTTGTCTTTGAGTAATCCTTATGGCCAGAGAGAATGTTCTGATTGGTTTAAGCCAATCAAGGCCCATGCCTGGATCAATCCCATTGTAATGACTATAATTTCATGACTAATATACAATGGATTCACAAAGAGACCTCTCCCCTCAAAAAAACTCAGAGTACTTTAAGCAGATGAAAAGAATAGATTTTGGTGAGTTACCACTCAGATATGCACTATAGCCATCATCTTTACTGTTTCTCCAAAATGATGTCTAGATTGTGTTAAAATGCTGCACTGGCAGTCACAGAGCTCAGGCAATAGGTAGCCTAGATCAGGTTCTGTATTCCTGGGCACCAGACTTTCTACTATGCTGTGACAGCATAGCAGATGTATACCTAAAGAGGAAATAGATAGATATAGATAAATATAGATATATATGTGCGTGTGTGTGTATATATACTTGGGTGGATATCACAGAAGGTATAAAATTATTGGATGCACCACAGTAATGGGAATTCAATTTCAAGAGCTTTGCCCAGACCTAAGGAGGGGGGACTCAGTGTATGGCTAACCTCCAGGAATGCTACTACATAAACTTGGGTAATTTAGTTAACCACTACTAGTGCTACTAGTTAAGCTTTTGTAAAACATTTCTCTTGTATTCTCTATAATGCAAGTCAGTATCACTGAGGTCTCTGAGTCTAAACTGATGTTTTCTAAAGCTCTTTGACACTCTAGACCAGAGGGTGTTATTTAGGTGAACGATATTGTTATCCAGTTTCACTTAACATGGAAGGAAATGGTACCCATAGTCATCAGTTACATTTCTTTCAAGTCTTTTCTCTCAATTTTTGATAACTATGAAATCTGGACCTTATATTGTTAAATTTCTAAAGTTTATATAAATGTTGAAAAGAGGGAATGCCCCAGCCTGCTCCTTCCCCAAATATAAATATACAAAAGAAGAATCCACACAAGTCTGTTTACAATTTAGAACAACCACCCAGAAAAAAAAAAAAAGAAAGAAAGAAAAAGAAAAAGTCATGGTGATGAGTCCAGAATGTTCAAGCCAGTTTTAAAGCAGCTGGCCTTTGAGTTGCTAAGAGTGTTTATTTCTTCCATTCTCTCCTGAAACCATAGTTGCTACAAAATCCCAGAAACAGAGCTGCCCTGAATTGACAGAAATGCTTTATTCCATCAAACCCCCAGTCACCGAGCTGTGATTAAATGGGTGTGAAGGAGTAAAACAGCCCAAGATTCCTAAAATGTCACATATTTGTAATTTGACCAAAATGGAACCAAGCCTGTAGGCTTGTCTCGTTGCTTTTTGGAAAAAGAGAAGTGAATATCCATGGAAATGCTCTTAAAATTGTCCTTATTTTCTTCTGAAAAATCATACCAAGTCATAAAGAAATCTTAGTCCTCGTCAAGGGGGTCAGCACACCCAGCAAACAGAGACTCTCAAAGAAGGATCCAACTACCCCAAACTCTGGTGTTACTTTGATGCTCTGAGGTGCTAGCTGGCCAAGTAAGCATACATTTCAGAACATGCTCTCACCTTGATTAGCTCATAATAAGGGGCTCTCTCCTTCTTCTGTGAAGCCTAGATAGCTAGCCTTTCAGGAATGCAACTGCAGCTCTCCCCTGAGCTGAATGGAACAGCCTCTTCGGACCCACAGGAAGCGTGGCTAGGACACTTACTTCCTTATTTGTCTGTTAATTTGTTTTAGAAGTTTTTGAAGATGCCAACAGCGTATATTTTTCACATTATCGTCTCATATAGCTTATTTAAGACAGCAGCCAAATCTATCAGCTTAACTATCTCCAGTGTCTTTCTTCCTTTTTAAGTTAAAAAAAAAGAGGAAATTCATAAATCAGAACACTCTGAGCCTTTTCTCCACCCCTCACCACACACCTGTGCCTTTCAGGACGCACATTCGATAACATTGGGCCAATTAGCATGCTGTTCTGGGCCTGCTGGTTCTATAATGTACTCATAAAATGTTACTGGTATTTAAAATGTTATTGGTATTCTTGTACGACTTTCAGATAACAACAGTAAGTCACTAATTAGATGTATTACGTGAATACATATACGAGTCCTTAATAATGTTTAAACCTAAGGAAACCTGTAGAATTGATGAGGAAAACTTGGCTTTCTCCTTAGGTGGAGTTCCCTGCTCTAACAGAAAAAGAAATTCCCTGATATTTATTTACCAAAGTAATTTCAAAAAACAGCACCCTGTGACGGCAAACAAAGATTCTGAGCATTTACTCCTAAGTTATTGACAATAGCTACTAATATTAATATTTTTTTTAATTGAAGTATAGTCTATTTACAATGTTTTGTTAACTTCTGGTGTACAGCATAGTAATTCAGTTATACACATATATATGTGTGTGCGTATATAGATGTGTATTTATATATTCCTTTTCTTTTTTTCTCGATTCCACATATATGTGATATCATATGGTATTTTTCTTTCTCTTTCTGGCTTATCTCACTTAGTATGACCATCTCCAGGTCTATCCATGTTGCTGCAAACAGCATTATTTTATTCTTTTTTATGGTAATGTTCCATTGTACACATATATCACAATTTCTTTATGCAGTCATCTGTCAATAGACATTTAGGTTGCTTCCATGTCTTGGCCATTGTTTATGGTGCTGCTATGAACATTGGGGTGCATGTCTCTTTTCAAATTATAGTTTTTTTTCTAGATATGTGCCCAGAAGTGGGATGGCTAGATCCTATGGTAAGTCTATTTTCAGTTTTTTGAGGAATATCTATACTGTTTTCCATAATGGCTACACCAAACTACATTCCCACCAACAGTGTAGGAGGGTTCTCTTTTCTCTGCAGCCTCTCCAGCATTTATCATTTGTGGACTTTTAAGCAATGACCATTTTGACTGGTGTGAGGGGATACTTCACTGTAGTTTCGATTTGCTTTTCTCTAATAATCAGTGACATTAAGCATATTTTCATGTGCCTGTTGGCTTTTTGTATGTCTTAATTGGACAAATGTTTGTTGAAGTCTTCTGCTCATTTTTTGATTGGGTTGTTTATTTTTTTGTTATTGAGTTGTATGAGCTGTTTTTATATTCTGGAAGTTAAGCCCTTGTCAGTCACAGCATTGGCAAATATTTTCTCCTATTCCATAAGTTATCTTTTCATTTTATTTATGGTTTACTTTGCTATGTAAAAGCTTTTAAGTGTAAGTTTAATTAGGTCCCTTTTTGCTTTTATTTCTATTGCCTTGGTAGACTGGCCTAGGACAACATTGTTACAATTTATATCAGAGAATCTTTTGACTATGTTCTCTTCTAGGAGGTTTATGGTGTCTTGTCTTATGTTTAAGCCTTTAAGCCATTTTGAGTTTGTTTTTGTGTATGGTGGGAGGGAGTGTTCTAACTTCATTGATTTACATGCGGCTGTCCAGCTTTCCCAACACTACTTGCTGAAGATACTGTCTTTTCTCCATTTACATTCTTGCCTCCTTGTGTCAAAGATTAAAAATTGACTATAGGTCTGTGGGTTATCAGGATCTAAGACAAGTGTTTTTATGGGTTTCCTCAGGAAATAGACAATAATGAGATGAATTGAAACATTATATGTCTGAGAACAAGCACATTTTTCTGAAGACTCTCAGAAGGAAAAGGATGCAGTGTGGTGTTCGAGGACAACATCAGAGATGGCACTGGGGTCAAGATCTGGAGCTGATGCTTCATGACTCTGTGGCCTTGAGAAAGCCACTTGAACTCTCTGAGATTCAGCTTCTTCATCTACAAAGTGGTGATAATAGTGCTCTCCACTTTGCCCTATGGATTATCTTAAGAATCAAATGATTCTTAGAATACATGGATTATTATCATGAGGTTTGTTTGTTATCTAATGATCAAAGCCAATGACCCTTTCTGTCTTTGTGCTACTCAAGCTTTCAACATATTCAGTTAAGTAACCTCAGACCCTCCCCTTTTGTAATGTAACACTGTACGGGTTCTACTTCCAACTTTAGAAAACTTTCTTTATCCGTATCTTTTATTGACTTCTCCTGCCTCCTAAAGTGAATGCCCCTGAAAATCGTCTCTTTGGGCTTCTTCTCCACTCTGTCTCTGTCTCTCTCTTTCTCTCTCTCTCACCAATCTCATCATTCCCTAGGGCTAAGTATCCCTCTTAGGTGGATGACTCACCTATGTCCCTAATCCACAGCTCTGTTCTGAAATCCACACTGTTTCCAACTGCCTGATTAATAGATCCCCCTAGAAAGCTCATAAGTAATTAACGCTCAAGATTGACACCTAGAGTCAATTAATCTTCGACAAAGGAGGCAAGAACATACACTGGAGAAAAGACATTCTCTTTGATAAGTGGTATTGGGAAAGATGGACAGCTACCTTCCCAAACCAGCTCTTCCTACGAGATTGCTATTTCTATAAATGACACCATTTCCCTCCCAATTCCCCACTAGCAAAATGTCAGATATATAATTGACTTCTCTATTCCGTCTCCTCCCCAGTTTTCATATTTTGTTGGTTTGCCCTCTACAGACTCATCTGTACCTGTTTCTTCCACTGTCTATGACACCACCATGGCTCTGGCTTAACTTGCCTCCTGTGAAAATTATTCCAGTAGCTTCTCTTCGCACCCAGCTCACCTCCTCTAATTCATTCACCATACACTGCCAGAAAAATCTTCATAAAACACAACTCTGGACAAATCATTCTCCTAAAACTTTTAAAGACTCTGATTGAGTATGAAATCAAATTCAGACTTCTTATCCTGGCTCCATTTATTTGTTCATTCAATGAATATTCATTGTTAAATGCCGGAACTACAACAATGAGGAAGACAGACATGATTCCTGCCCTCACTGAATTTTCAGCCTAGTATGGAAGACAAACATTGCATTAACAGGCAAACAAAAAGTTGATTAGGAATGTAAGCACTTGATGGAAGAGAAATTAAGGTTATTTCAAACAACTTTCTCTGGTCCAGAGGATCAGAGAAGGCTCTCCCACAGAAGTTTCATGTTTATATATCATATATGTAGAGACTTCAGTTTTCCCAAATACTCGACTCATCATCGATCTGTCAAACTGAACTTCTTGGAATCCTTGATTATGCCTTCTTCTTCTGCCCTTTGTTTACACTGAAGCTTTTATTTATAATGTGTTCTCTTTATCTTTCAAGTCCCACCTCCTCCACATAGCCTTTTTAGAAATTTCTCCAATTAGCTATGAGTTCTTGCTCCATTAATCCAATGATCCAATGATCTTGTTAAAACCATGCCTGTTTAGAGCATACAAGGTCAAGATGCAAACATCAGTTGTATTTCTAGGTACTAGAAACAGCAAATGGGAAGTGAATGCTTGACCATCCATTTGGAACAGATTAAAAATTATAAAATACAAACTTCTGCTTCCAGCCCAGTTTTACTCTACCATCTGAAACAACCAAAAATCAATAAATAAAGTCAATAAATAAATTCAGACAGACTATATGAGACAATGACTTTAAAAACACCAAGCATGAGGCAGGGAAGGACAGTGATCTCTTAAGAAACAGAAGTAAATAGGAGTGGTTGCCTAAGCTTGAGAGAATTTGGGAGCTTCTAGGCTTCAGCATTGAGAGAGAAAACCAGGCAAAACCCAGTTGATTCCTTGAATTGAGGAGATGGCACTGAGAGTCCACAGAGACTGTGGGAGTTAGAGTATTCAGGACAGAGTAATAGGGAATTTTTGCACAAAAAGAAAAATCCAGGTACCTCCTCAAGTATGCAGCAGAGTGTCAATTAGTGGATGTGTGTGAGGCAACTACTTGAAAGTGGACTCAGATTAGTATGTATATTAATAGTCAAAAATGTATATTAATAATAGTCAAAAACTGGAAATAACCCAAATATCCATCAACAGTTGAATGGACAGATTGTGGTATATCCCTATAATGCGGTATATTCACACTCAACAATATTGACTGATCCCAAAAATAGGATGTGGAATGAAAGGTGTAAAAACTGTATCTTTCCACACAGGAAGTTAAAGAACAGGCAAAGCTAATCCATGGTGATAGGAATCAGGACAGTAGTTGCCCCCTGGGTGATGAGGATTAATTGAAAGATACATAAGAGAACTTTCTGGAGTGATGGAAATGCTGTCTTGACTGGGGTGGTGGTTCCATTGGTTGATACATTTACCAAAACTTATCAAAGTGTATGCTTCAGATTTCTGCATTTCATTCTACATACATCTTGCTTTAAAAATTAGACAAATATTGAACAGTACCTATATGTAAATTTAAAAGAGAATTAGACAAATATTAATAGATGGATGATGAGTGACAGTTTATAAAGCTTATGTTTCTGAATATTTACTTTTTTGAAGTAGGCTTCACATTTCTACTCTGTTCATAAAGCTTATGTTTCTGAATATTTACTTTTTTGAAGTAGGCTTCACGTTTCTATATGACATCTATTCAGACTTAAAATGTATCTGTTTCTAAAAATGGTAGGTATTTCTGACACTTTACTTCATCAAAGGGTTAAAGCCTTTCAGAACTAAAAAACTGCTGACCCGCATGTAAAAGACTCAGAAAAACTATCAAACATGCTACCGAGATAGTTCAGATAAGATGGGACGGGCTTCAGGACTGAACTGAAACTCTGCAATAGGAAAGAGCAAGAACAACGAAGAAAGGGAAAACCAGCTAAAAATTATAAGAATAATTAAGCACCCTAGCACCCGTGCAATCGAAGTCATGGGTGGGAATAACCACCAAGCAGTGATCCATCCCTAAGTCAGGAAATATGCGTTAGAACTGGGAGCCCCGCCGTGACCTTGGGTCCTGTTCTCATACCAGGCATACCTCTCATTCCACGGGACACAAATATGCCTTTCATATTAGAAAGAAGACTATTTCCTATATGCTTGGCCTTTCCAGTGGCCGTCAGCACAGAGACAGACACTGGACAGAAGCTACTTATGTTTTCTGAAACCCTTATTTCTTCCCAGACAACTGTATCTTATTCTCTGAAAGTTTACTTCTTGGACTTATTAAGGACTGTATTTGAGGACACAGTTTTAACATGAGTTTTCAGGAAAACGTTTAATTTGAGAAATAAGATGCATTCATACAATTAATAAAGATCTGCTAAGAAATAGTCATGCTGGCTATAGCCTCTTTCTCCCAATTTGTTTTATGTTAGAATTATTTATTCACTCTATTGTCTCTGTTCAGCTATAAACAATGTAAGGGAAGAAATTGCATTTTGCTCCTCTGTGTATCTCCTTCAAAGCCTTGAACGTGACTGGAGATGAACTATTATTTATTCAATTAAAATTAATCAAATTGGCGTCACTCTTTCCTCTGCATTTCCAGTGTCTCTCTGTCACAAGTTCCTCTAGTCTGGATCCTTCGTTACTCTTTGTAGTGTGTTTTGAAGGTGAATATTTTTTATTCATTCATGCAGCTCTTAACTGATTTCTTCCCTCTTTCCCAAAGAGTTCAGCAGCTAAATAGGTACACAGTTTCCGTCTGTGGGAAAAGTCCTATTTTTCTCTATGATTTCCTCCAAAAGAAAGAGCAATAAATAAAGCAGGGCAAACATGAGCTGTGTCAACATAGCAAAACACCTGTAGGACAACAACTCTAAGCTGACAAAGACTTACACAACTTTTTAATGGTTTGTCCTGGATCCAACAGTAAGATTTTCCTGACAGTAACTCTCTCCCTGCCAAAGAGATCATGACCCTTGAATCTGGTAGAGAAATCGAATATAATACTGTACTGTTGCCTCTGGGAATGACAGAATAAAATACATGGTTGGAATCTTGGTCACAAAAAGATGTTGTACATAGATTAGCATACGAGATGGAAAATGATCAGAGCCATGCAGCCACAGCGTCTAAAATCTATGCAGGGTGTACAGTTTGCAAAGCAGTTTTACACACGTTGTAGCCCCTCCTCCTCCAAAACACTCATATTCACACACAGACAACAAACCAGGAGGGTGGCTGTAATTTTGTTCACCATGCAGATGAGAAATGGAGGCATTTACTCATATAAAATTATGTTTCACCTTAATATTTCTGACTTCTAAATATTAATCATCTAATTCAATTTATGAAGTATGTAGTATCATTGATCTGTAGTAAAGCTATTCCTCAGCTTTGACACAATATCATTTAAAAATTCATGAAGGTAGGGAAAAGGGGGGAAGGGGTCAATTAGGAATTTGGGATTAACAGATACAAACTACTATATACAAGATGGATAAACAATAAGGACCAACTGTATAGCTCAGAGAACTATATTCAATATCTTACAGTAACCCATAATGGAAAAGAATCTGAAAAAGAATACATATATATAACTGAATCATTTCACTGTACACCTGAAACACTGTATGTAAATCAGTGTGCTTCAATTTAAAAAAAAAAAGATAACAAACAGGAAAAAAATTCATTAAGGTAACTTCTGGTTTAAAAAAATACAAAATTCCTCCCAATAGCCCGCTAAAATAGGTATGAAACTACAGA